AAGATCCAAAAGAAATATAATAGCAACCATGAAATGAAAATAGCTGTCACTAAAATTAGAGTGAGACTTCACTGGCTTTGGGCTTGGGATCCTACCAAAAAAAAAAAATGCAACAGTTGGCTTATTCTAGCTTTCTCAAAATGGAAGTTCATAAAAAATGCACAATACAGTAATAACAGGACTCTTGAAAATCACTGCCTGACTTTTTCATTTAAAAGTACACTTTTGAAAAAAAGGCACACAAACCATTATTTCACAAAAGAACGTATTTAGATCACAGTTTGACAGTAAAGTTGGCCTAACACTTAGCAGATCCTAGAAAGAACAGTCTTGCTGTCAGTTGTATGCTGCCCAGCTTCCCCTGCCTGGACAGGGATGCTCATGTGAGTGACCACACCATGAAGAGTTCACAAAGCTGAACCAGCATAAAACTAATTCTCCAAGAAAGGCGATTAGTTTGCTGCTGGGGCATTTCCCTGAACTAGCTCACCTTGGGATCAGACTTCCCAGCCCATGCCAAGGAGGGGACACAGCTGGGGACCAAGGACTAGCTCAGCCATCAGGCTGCCTTGCTGCACTTGCCAGCTCTACAAGCTCTACAAGCTCAGTGCTGCTAAGGTCTGAGGAAAACGGTAAAAATTCTCTAAAACAAAGCTCAGAGTCCAAGCAGTTCACACCTACCCGTAAACATTGTGTGAAGCTTCTCCAGTACTTCTGCTTGGTCCAGCCATACATCAGAAAGAAATACAAACATGGCATCTTCGTTTTCATCCTCCAGCTGCTTTAGCTTTGCAGAATCCTTTACTGAAGCTGAAGAAGGCCCTCCAAAGAAGTTTACATTCCCATAGAAGGCTCTATATCATTAAAATATTCAAGTTAGTTCTGTTTTCTTCCCAAATAGTTAGCAGTTTTGACTATGACTCACTTAAGCCATTTTAATTGTTATTATTATTATGATAGGTAGCTCAGATGGTATCGATAATCACCTAGTACTTCATGGAGAAAGCAAGGAAGAGAAATGGCAGTCACCTGGATATAAAGCAGAGGCACTGCCCTGACATAATTTAACAGATCATCTCAGGGCAGTATTTATCCTCGGTTCTCTCCCCCATCCATTCCTTGAGCAACAAGGAATTCCTTATTCTCATGTAATAGTTATCTAGTTTTGCAACTGAGAAGGATTTAGATCCCAATTGTTATTATATGCAGAACCCAACGGCCTTTAGAAGGTTTTTTCCTGCTAACGCTACAGGCTTTAGTCCTGGTCCAAGCAGACCAGCAAGTCCCAGAATTGCTTCCTTAAAATTGTATTTATTTTGAAGCATTTGGGGAGGGAGAAGAATAGCATACTTTAATGTCACAGAAATTATAAAATAAGAATGCGCTTACTTAGAAACTCATAACAAAATATGGAGCGAGGCTGCTGAAAGTCAGTTTTATACCTAGTGGTAGCAGAAGGCTCAGTAGGCGGAAATCCAAAAGCGTTCACATGAAAAACTTCATCTTCATACCAACCTAAGAGATTTTTGAACAACAAAATAACCTTTAGTTTTCCTAACAACGTCGTGTCCTAGACATTAGTCAGACAGTTGGCAGCTGTGCTGCATAGCTAGTCCCAGCCTCCATCAATCCCTCTCTTGTGATAGCACCAGGCCCCGTGCTAGTTAGTGGTGAGCCAGACCAGGGAACTAACTGGCTGAAGAACAGGCTGAGCAAGAAACCAACTGGTTTTTTACCCCTGGCACTTCTTTGAATGGATTTGCTGCACAGCCACATAAACAACCTTCTCAACCCAACCAAAAAGAATGTCGGGGAACAGGAGTAATTTTTGCTGGCCATTCCCCAGAAGAGTCTCCATCAAACTGCACCCGTTCTCACGAACTGTCCCACCAGAACTAAAAGGGTGTCCCCACTTGTCCCCACTATCATTCTTGCTCTTGAATTCTACTTAGTTTCTTTTACAAATTTTAAACATAAAATACATTATCAGAAAACAGACCGGGATTATGTATATTGCAGAGTAATATCCTACAAACAGAAATGACCATAATTTTGCCAAAACATGTCCAAAGCTTCAAAACTGCAAGCCCTTACATCATCTTAATGAGAAGACTCACCAAAGCCTCTGAAGGACTAAAGTTTTGCAAACAGAAAGCAGCATTTTCACATTGTCAAATCATACTGTTTCATTATTCTACTGTCTCCCTCATCTAGTCTCATCTCCTCCAAGCATGTTGGAGCCAGGCTAACTAAGGCCAATCCTCAAAGCTGCTAGAGATGCTCATGTCCCACCGACATCGCTGAAAACAACAAATTTCGCAGAGCTCTGTTCTCTGCCTCCAGAGCCCATGAGGTAACAGAAAAGGCCTATGGCCAAAAATCTCAGTCACAGACTCAGCTTATGGTCAAGCCTTATCAACACAAGACTTGTCTGTTCAGCCACATCTGGCAGACACACAATTGCAGCAACAGCCATTAACAGAATAACTTACTACAAGCTAAGAAAAATAGTCTGCTTTACCTTCTGCCAGAACAAAGCATGATTCAGTATATAAACCACTGTGGAACTGGTGCAGAAAGGTTAAGAAATATATTTTTCTTAGATCAGGACTCTTAAACTAGTTCTTTAGCCAAAGTTTGCTTTCCAGCTGGTATAATACATTTGGACACTACTGAAAGTTCATAGGCTGCCTTAAGAGTTAGGCAATTACCTAGTAGCTGAGCAGGTAAGCTCATAAACAGCCCACAGACAGGAACACGTTCTGCTTCCACTAGGAGGAATACTAACCTTGTCCTAACGGTCTCTGTGAAAGGGCACTGAGCTGCAGCAACCAAGTAACTTGAAAAGGAGGAAAAAGACAGAGCTGCGATTCTCAATACCTAATTTTGAATGGTCAGTATTGATTTGTTATTCAATCTGAAATTCTCCAGGTCTATAGGAAATTTCTTCCACTCTTACATCACAGAAAAAGGATATTGCTTTACTAAGGTCTAGCTGGACAACTCCTGTAGGGTCTTCTAGGAAAAATTTCCCCTAAAAAACAGGATTAATTAATAAAGCAAAATATACCCAAACACATAAATGCTTCAATCAGAAGCATCTATCAGTCAGCATTTAGAAATAATTTAGCCATCTTTAATATTGTAAGCTTAGAACACACTGGCAGAACTTAATGCAGTTTGTAGCAAGGGTATCTTAGCACCTTCCCTTTGAGCTGCTGCAGCCTGGATTGCTGGTGCACCCCTCCCCTACAATCACAGTCCAGTGCAATGGCACGTCCAAACACAGTCACTGGAAGCTCTGGCATTTCAAGAAGGGGCATGCCTAAAAAATGTAACTGGTTCTGTTGCTGATACAAGGCATTACAAAATTCTGTAGTGAGAAGACAAAGACATGTCCCTCACACACTAGCATCGACTGCTTGTGGACAAGTCTCTTCTTAGGGAATGGATCTTGCACCACTGACATTGATGTGAGTTCTGCCAATGACTTATATGACAGGATAAAGTGGTGAGATACTTAAGCCTTCTCATTTTCTAATATGTCAGAACACTGAACGAACGGTGACCTAGATGCTCCACAATAAAAAGCAACCCACCTCCTTGAGCTGAGTTATCATCCCAAGCACAATCACTTCTCCCACTTTAGCTGTATTGCCCAACAGAGTTTCTATGGTTTTAAGCTGAAAACCAAAGGCAAAGAATCAAATAAGAATTAAATCAAACTCTCCACATATCTATTCTTAAGAAAGCAAGACAAAGCAACACAGAGCACATGTTTTTACATAAATACAAACATGAGCTATGAGAGAATACGGGGTCATTAGAAAAATCA